ATTGTTCGGATGGACTATTCGCATTAGGGAGAAAGGCGCCACGAGTCTGCAATAACTGAAAAAGCCAATAACGAGTTGCTTAACTTTTCCGGTGGGGCGTCATCTGTTACGGTATTTTATTTTAAAAACTTTTTATGTTTACCTATTATAAAACGGCAAAAAGCTTAATTTTGAAGATAGAGATGGGTTTTATTTAAAAAAATGTAAATGCTAATAACGAGTAAAATCGTCATTAAGTCCGGCCCTATTGGAGATACGCACGACCCGTTTTATCTCCCCACTCCCTCGACCTTTAATCGCCAAAATTTAATAGCATCAATCTCCCTATACCCAAACCTCCCCGTAAAATTTCAGAAATTTTTAGGGGAGTTTGTGTAGGGAGATTGATCGAAATTTCTGCATTTGTCGACGTTTCGAGGTCTTCCGAGTCCAAAAATGTAAAAATATGGGAGGATAATTTTTTTTGACAGATCTCCATACTTTCCTCTGTTATACGTAACAACCCAGAAAGTAAAAATGTATAGCCAAATCGTATCATACAATCCAGATGGGTTGATAACAATAATAACAATAACAGTATTGTAATCGCAGAGCCCAGGCGATTAGGAGTCGAAAATTGAAATTTCCGAAATTTCCCCCGCGGAGGAGAGGGAGAGAGTAAAGGATTACCCCGAATTCGGATTTTACTGTACTATTTTAAATGCGGTTTTTGCGGAAAATGGAACATGTTTTCAGACCCATCTAAAAATTTTCTAATTACTCTCGGAAGAGGGTGAACCTAATTCTTGCACCCGGTAAAAACGGGTAAGACGGGCTAAAATCTAATAATCTTAATCTTCGCTATCGTTACTTTTTGCCCCGGCAACGCCGGGCTCGTCCGCTAGTTTAAACTAATTGTTTTATTTACCGTAAACTTTTCATTTGGAATCATATCTGCTACTGTAAATAGCTAGCTTTCCTGCCAAGTTTCGTCTCTTAAAAATTGAAAAATGTCAAAATGAACTTCGGATCTTCGAAATACCGTATTTTACCGCTTTGCCCAGGGACTTTGAAATGTGACAATGCCGAAGGGCCTCCCTATTCTTCGGCACCACGTGACCGAAGGGTCGACATCGCGTCGGCGAAGATCGCAATGACAAGTTTCGTCGGGACTGACACCACTGTGTCTTCACGGCTAGACACAGAAACCGTTTCGTTCGGGCGTGTGAGCGATCAGAGTTGAGATAGAAGGAGAGACAGAGCACCGGAAGTGAATTACTCAGAGACGCTTTAACGTAACAACTGTTTAATGGTTAACGATGGGCTATACATTAGGGCTGCGGTTAGATACATTTCTCAATTTGATAAGTATTCGATATTAAGATATTACGTTTTTCCCCGATTTGAGAGAGAGAGTTTACACAAGTTGCGCGTGGCGATAATTACCTTGTATGAAATCACAAAAGAAGACAGTTCTGGACGACAGTTCTTATTTCCACAGTTATTAGGCGAGGAGGTATCCAAAGGCTNTGTTAAGCGCCAAGAAATTTTTGTAACAACCAGTAAACATAAGCGATGAAACCTGTGGTTTTTAATATCTTGATAACCTGTAATTAAAAAGGTATGCTTTTAGAAAAACAATACCTAATATGTTTGTTGTAATTTTATAGTGTTGAACTTTTGTTTTCAGTTGGCTGAAGAGGGGCAATAAATGCCCGAAACGTGTGTAATAACAACACGTATCAACTGAATAAAACTTGATGATAAGTATTGCCAAGTGCCTGAAGATAAATACGATAATTATTTGTGTTTGAATTACAACTTATTTTTAGTGTTTTGTCGACAAGTGCGTTGATTTACGTTTACAGCACGATATTCAAGATAATTAGTCTATATGTTAGAACAAAAATTCGTAGATTTTATAGCCTACCGGGTGATAGTAATTGAACTGCTCTTATTCAACGCCGACTGCGAAGAGCAAATAAATTTGATACGGGGACATTTCAGAACACGGGAAAGACTTTTCCGTATAAAATAAAAAATTAGCTTAGTTTTAAAACCCGCCACTGCGGCAGTTTTGGCGCCGTAAGAACGAAACAGCAGTTTTATTTCACTTTTACTAAATTTAAAAAGCGCAGTTTGTCCCGGACATGTTGGAAATTTGCGACGTCAAAAGACGGTATCACGCTACATACGAAAATTGATTACGGTCGGCCGTACCTTAACCCAATTTAACACTTCTGAGCGGTGACTATATCGAGCAGTATCCTACGAAGCGTGATTGCCTGCTGCAAATACAATTCTTATTGGTTGTAGCGCCAAAATTGCCATAACGGCGAATTTTGGTGTTAATGATTTTTACGGAAATGTCTTTCGAGTGCCCCGAAATGTCATCATTTCGAATTTGGTTGCGCTCGAACTGCTAAATATCTCTCTAACGGCATACTTTAATTACGATCAACCAGTATAAAAATTCTAAAAATTCGCGAATGCAATAATGGTGATAGAGAAGAAGTCGTACGAAAATGTCATAAAATCAGATAACCTATGAGAAAATATAATGTTGATAAATTTTCGGATTTCCATTCACTCGAGTTATCTGTCGACAGTATTTGGCATATTGAATGGTATCTATGGCAATATTTTCGAGATGTTTCCTGGTTTTTATCGAATTTATGCTGCAAACTTACGCACGGGTAGGAAACCAGCATCCGCCAACATAATATCATTCATGGTTTAGTGATCCATTAAATTATTGTTCGTCTTTAACGATGCCATTTTACAAAATAAGTAAGCGATAGCGAGTATAATGCCCACAATGTAATAAAAACGGAAGTATGCTCGGATGCGCTTTATGCCGGTTTAAATATATTATTACAAGCTAACTACAGAACTCCCGCTTCGAGAACATTATATTAATTAAAAGATACGTGATCGATCCTTTGAAAATGGAAAAACTATTTTCATATCCTTGTCATCCGCGCAGTGAAAATCAGAATATCACTTTTCATATTTGGTGTAAATGTAATATTCATTCGATATTCGGTATCGTTCATACCACGGCTTCCCAACCTATGGGTCGCGAACCAGAAGGGGGTCGCGATGGGCTTTCTGTGGGGTCGCCAACTTATACAGGTCTGTTTTTCATGTTGGATTGTTGAAACGGAGATATTAGGTCGAAAGGTGCTGAGAAAGCGTCGTTATTAAGCCTGAGAACTTAGCAGATGTTTAGCTCCCAGGTGTAAAAGTTGACAGTTATTGAATGAAAGTATAGCTACAATGTGAAATGATATAAACACACGAAAAGTCCTAATTCGGATCCTCACAGAAACGTTCACAAAATTTCGAGTACTTTCGAATCTTTCCGAGTTAAATCTTAGAACGTTGTTAAGAAGACAATGGACGAAAAAGTTTTCATGAAATTAACACTATGCGCACTCGAAATTTACCGCCATATTGGATTGTCGGCCGAATCCGTGGTGTTGCGACGTAAAGGAGTAGGACGTGTTCTCTCTATTCTTTATTTCTTTATTTACATAAAAAAAAATAGCATTGTCTTACAGCGTCTCATCGGTATCAGAATGACTTGTGTTCTAATGTTTCTAAATGCCTCTAAAATTTTCTTTTTAAAGCGAAAACACAAAATGATCTATGTTTAACATTACTTTCCCTGCGAAGGTCTAAGTTCAGAAAGATGTATTTTCCTTAAAATAACTTTTGTACAATACTTTATATAACATATCAGTGTCTTACTATTTAGCTTTTATACCCAAACTCTACAGTCGTCTGTATAAGTATATATTTGCATAATTATCGTCAAGAAAAAATAATGCGCATATATGCGTATTTAATTTAATTTTTCTTTATTAAAACAACTTATTTTTATTCTGGTACTTTTGAAACCGTGCTTATAGTTATTAGTAGTAATTCAAACACAAATAATTATCGTATTTATCTTCAGGCACTTGGCAATATTTATCATCAAGTTTTATTCAGTTGATACGTGTTGTTATTACACACGTTTCGGGCATTTATTGCCCCTCTTCAGCCAACTAAAAACAAAAGTTCAACACTATAAAATTACAACAAACCNTTCATCCCATTGACGCTTTACAACTAAAATTTAATAGCATTAGTGCCCCATATTACTAAACAGTAAGAATTTGTAACATTTACGGAAGCTAAATGAGCCCACCCATTTATTATCACGTGACTGATCCGCTCCTCACCAACTAGCCGACCACGTGAAGTTTACAAATTTTCTTCACATATCTAACAGGTAAGTAGGGGTCAGTTTCCTTTCTATAAGGCCATTCGGGTGGCACAGGCACACTCCACGTGTTACCCAAGTGGACGCAACAGGTGGGCATCATATGTTGCATTGTGGTACTTTTGAAACCGTGCTTGTAGTTATTAGTAGTAATTCAAACACAAATAATTATCGTATTTATCTTCAGGCACTTGGCAATATTTATCATCAAGTTTTATTCAGTTGATACGTGTTGTTATTACACACGTTTCGGGCATTTATTGCCCCTCTTCAGCCAACTTTTTTAATTACAGGTTATCAAGATATTAAAAACCACAGCTTTCATCGCTTATGTTTACTGGTTGTTACAAAAATTTCTTGGCGCTTAACGCACTTTAATCTAAGAAAACATACGGTTTATGTTATCTAAAATATTTTAAAACCTTATTTTTTATGTGGATTTTACATGACAAATTTACAATGAAGTANTATTTTTGAAAAAAAAAAAAAACGTTCCTGAAAAAATGGCCGCCGTTTAGAGAGAATTGACGTTATTGGAGGTTCGAATTTTTCGTAGTATAGTTTACTGTATGATATTGCCATGCAAATTTTATTTGTTATATCTTCTGATACTTAAATTATATTAACTATTTTACTTCTAAACTAATTTTCACCTATTCCGGGAATACTAACTGACAGATAATATGTAAATGAGTACTTACAAATGTACTGGAGGATAAAGTCGAAGCATTTCTTTAAATGCTTGATGCGGATATTGTAATTTCTGAACGGTGCTGTAATTCAATTCATTCTGAAAGAAAACAAAATCTTTTTATAGTACAAACTGTAATTGCTGTGTAAATATAATTGCTCTTCATAAATTTACCTCTTCTTCTATCAGAGTTTTTACTTCTTTTCTTATTTTTTCCTGAACGTCGGGAAAATTAGCTAACATCAGAGTGCAAAGAGCCAGAGCTGTACTCGTGGTTTCGTATCTAAATCGTTCGAAAGATATTTAGCATTAAAAATTTAACAAATTTATATTCATATAACGATTAAAATCCATGGAAATACGCTAAATAACTGTTCTCACCCGGCCAAAAGTACTAGACAGGCATTCGCTGTCATCTCATTCATAGTCAAATGTCTCGATTTGACGGTTTCTGTTGAAAATTTCCAATTACTCGTTAAAATTTAATAATGATTTAATGCAAAATTTAAATTATAGATACTATTTTTCACTTGTTTAACATTAATTTCTTTCTGAACGTTATAGCTATCAGACAAATCTTGGTAAACAGCGTTGACATTTTTCTTAATTTCCGCGCCGATTGACAATTGAAGGAGATCCGGTCTTCCTAGCTGTGCATTTTGTAAAATAAATGAAAAGAAATTAGGAAAAAATAATTGAAAAAAATCTTGCAACGAGTTGCGTAACTTTCCCGGCTTTTATGAAACTTTATTTTAAAAATAGCATTTGTATTATTAATCAAAATAAATAAAATTGTATATGGCGCCATCTGTTATGAGATTTTGTTATAAAAACTTTATATATTTTTAGTTATTATAAAATAGCAAAAGACTTAATTTTGAGGGCAGAGATGAATTCTATAAAACACTGTAAACGTTAACATGTATAATCTTCATAAATTCTGACCACTCACAAGATAGATTACGTGACCGCTCTCTATCTCTTCATCCCATTGACGCTTTACAACTAAAATTTAATAGCATTAGTGCCCCATATTACTAAACAGTAAGAATTTGTAACATTTTCGGAAGCTAAATGAGCCCACCCATTTATTATCACGTGACTGATCCGCTCCTCACCAACTAGCCGACCACGTGAAGTTTTACAAATTTTCTTCACATATCTAGCAGGTAAGTAGGGGTCAGTTTCCTTTCTATAAGGCCATTCGGGTGGCACAGGCACACTCCACGTGTTACCCAAGTGGACTCAACAGGTGGGCGTCATATGTTGCATTGTCTTATTCTTTTAATCCAATCCTATCAAGCAATAACCGAACTTCACGAAGGATGCTACCTATTTCTAATTATAATTATCTTTAATTTAATGATTTACACTAAAATTAATGAATATATTATTGTATCGAATTGACGTACTTCAAACAAAAATCGAAACGGCGCATNATTTAATCCAATCCTATCAAGCAATAACCGAACTTCACGAAGGATGCTACCTATTTCTAATTATAATTATCTTTAATTTAATGATTTACACTAAAATTAATGAATATATTATTGTATCGAATTGACGTACTTATTATGAGAAGAAACAAAAATCGAAACGGCGCATGAACTAAGGGATCATATAAGGGATCTTTCGGATTTTTCTGTGCGTTAGATTGAATTCCAAAGGCAGTTCTGACAATCACATCTAAAATTAACCTTTGAAAGAATGTATATTCTTCAAAGTCTTCTCCAGACTGGCAAAATTTCTCAAAATTTTCCAGTAGTTCTTTAATGGCATCATTTATCATGGGTGACATCTGCAAGATAAAAAAAGAAAAATATTTTTATGTAGAACACGCAATTATAGAACCAGAATAAGAAAATAATAATTTAACCATTTTAATTTTGCTCGTAGTAAAAGATGTGGTCATAACACTACTGAGCGGTTTCCATTTCGTTCCTCTCAAAAATATTAAGTGATGATTTACAAGTTTCATTGATGGAATCTCAAGCGAAATTGCCTAAAAATATTTTTACAAAAAATTAACTTCGGGTCGATTCCAACTCTACGGGCCTTTTGTCTTTTGTCTGTAGCGGTAGAATCGACCCGAAGTTAAAGAACAGGAACCAACACATTCTACAGCTTCGAGGGTAATTGCATCTTCAATTGTATCCACAACCATCACGTTTACTTCTATTGTCTTACCACGTCCACAACCCCAACAACACTTTTAGGCCTCAGTACAGGATGTGTTGTAAAAGGATGGCAAAAATGGCACCACACTCCAACGAGTACTGGTCTCATGGACAATGATGATGATGATGATGAAAACAGGATGTGTACGCCAAATTTCGGGTCTTAACGCTTAGTTTGTGAATGACAAGATATTATCATACACAATCAAATTTATTTCTAGGTAATAAATGTTTAAAACATATTTAATATTTTTAATACAAATGAAAATAATATAGGACAGCGCAAAACGCTTATATTTCGGTTTTAGAAGCCAAAATCTACAAATCTGAAAAATTAACAGTGAGTAGTAGATAAGTTGGCAAACAAGAAATGGCGCATCTGGAGCGACGAACAAATACCAAATTTTCTATAAACTCTATATGCTTTTTAACACTTTTATCTTCCCTAAAACAATAGAGAGGCTGAAGATTCGCTGGTTATTAATCAGCAGCAGAGGTAGGAGCCATAGCGAGAGTCTTTGTAAGACCTCGTTTCGTTGTAATATATTCAATATTTTATTTAAATGGATTTAATTTTAAAAGTAAATTTAAACACATAAAATTAATTAGAAGATGTACTTACTGGTACCAAAAGCATAAGGCCACAGCGAGAATAGAAAGCAATATATATGTAAACATTTCAAAATTTCTATTGAAGTGGATTGTATTTGTATTATCAATGAACTTGGAAATTCAAAAAAATCAATGATGCAACAAGTTTCTTATCAGTATTTAATTATTGATATTTTGTTTAGCATGAATCACATCAGTGTAATATCTTGTTTACGGTTTACAAGTTTCTTTACTTTGGTGACTACACCATCAACAATAAGATGCTAGAATATGAAGAAAATTGACATTTTCTCAAAATTCAGCAATCAAATCACCCGGCATCGTTTCTTATTTATGTCACCCAACCTCTTATATAGTCGGGTCAATTGTAAAAAAGTAATTATTGATATTTTGAGCCAAATGGAAGCGTCATGATGTAGGCCTTACGACCATTCAATTCTTAACTTGCAAATCCTAAAAATACAATATATGATACTGTATATCTTATAACTTATTAAAATGTTACTTCATAAACACAGAAAAAGAATGAAATTGAAGAAATGGGATAAAAATAACTAATCGCGATAGAACAGAGACGACATCATTGAAATAAACGTGAAAAGCTATGGTAACGGAATAACTCTTTTGGAATTTTTCACAAATGCGTTCGAAGGAATTCGTAACATAGTAATTATTATTTTTGTATACCGCAATGAGTACTAAATAGCATTATTCGTTGTAGCGAGACTTCGGATACCGGGATATGGCTGTATTGTATATTGTATTATTGTCAACATCGACACATATACCAAAAAAATACAATAAATATTTATTCGTGTGACTAAATAATTCTACAGTTTTCTATTCAGTTCGAAATTTCATAATAAATTTAACTATATACAGCGTAATATTTTATCTGCCGCTTTAAATACAACCTAGAATATTCCCATTATCACCTATAGGCGGCAAACACCTGTTTTTCGCCAAGTTGGATAATTTCGTATTTTATTAATTATATTAATTACCGATTTGATTAGCACACATTTAACTTAATAAAATTTTTATCGCAATAATAATAATAATAATAATTTAATTTTAATAATTAATAAAATAATTTTATGGCTACGTTAAAACCAGAGGTCGCTGCAATTAATCAAACGCAGAAGAAGTTGGAAGGAGGAAAGTTTGTATATTACAATAAACATTCGAACGAAGGTAATTTGCTTCCTAATTATTATTTATACGAAATTAATTATGAAATAATGAAAATGCTAACTTAATTATAATATTACAATAGTTTCTGCGTATAGATGAACACATTACTTAAAATACAAGCTCTACCTTCCCTAAGCTTGGCATTTTAATTCTATATATTATTTATTTTATGGGGTTAATGTTGATAAAGATGGGGAATTAACCCCATGTATGAAAACATAATGAAACAGTGTTTTCCCCCACATTACAACAAAACAGATCACTATAACAGAAAAATTATTCACAATATAATTTACAAGTAACCACAATTCTTAGAAAATAAATGATCATTATTTACATTATTAGCAGTTTAAGTAAAGTGTTTAAGGAAATACCAAGACTGATGCCGCTGCTTGCAAATGCAGTAAGTTCTATCGGTGATGCAAACTGGATTGGTATATGTTAAATCAGGGATCTCCAAACTTTTCAGTGTAAAGGCCACACTCACTCCTCCACTAAGTCCCTAGCTAGCTCATCATACCAACATACTTTAGTTTTGAATAATGTGCAAATATTTATTTCGGAACTAGCCGGCGAGTGAGATATCTATGGCGGCGGGGGTGGACTCAGCTCCAGGTTGGTACTTACGGACAAGTGTCAAGGACATTTCATTGAGGTGGAGAAAGCCGATGCTCATGCTATGCATTACGTAATTGTAATTATAATGTTTAATTTCATTATGTAAATTACCTATGTATGTCACTTATTGTGTTTCTTAATTGATCGTTAAATAAAAACATCTGATTATTATTTTGTATGATGTATTTACATTGTAAATTTTGTAATGTAATCAAAGTAAACTATGGCGGGCTGGATACTGGGTTTGCAGAATTGGTGGTGCTCACTGGTCGTAGTTTGGAGACCCGTGTTGAATAATCACAATTAAATATATTTAATTACATTGATCATTTATTCTAATGAAGTTATTCTGTACGAATTACAATTTTTTGTAGATAAACTAAAAATGTGTTCTTTTTTCTAAACTTTTGAATTCAATACAGTCTAGAATTTTATTTATTAAGATTTAGTAAATATATTTCATTTGTTTATTTAATGTTTAGTTTAGGATGGGAATTTTTCTATTTATATTAAGTATTTTTTTTTTAAACTTTGAGTACATCCTAAACAGCATACCAACTTTACTTTGCAATTTATGGTAAGGATGCATCTTGATGACATATGACTTTCAAAAGTGGACTACTATGGGATCACTGAAGTGCATTTTTCCATATGTAGAGGTGTGAATACAAAACTGAATGCTATGCATGAAGTGTCTCTACATTTTATATAATTTTAAGGTAGAGGTTTACCACAAACTTTATAATCAGACCATTTTTACTGAGATCATGCTTGAAGGTCTTGTGCATCAATGAATGAGGCTCATTACATAGATCTTCACAAGTTTATCCCAGATTTGCAGGAAAGTAATTGCCTAGTATCCCTAACCTTATAGGATGGGATGCTACCGCATATTGTACATATAACAAACACAATTGCTGTGTACCACATTTGGTGATGAAGACAAGTTAATTTCTCAAACATTTTGTAATACTTGGTCACCATGTTTCTCCAACCTAAACCTTTGCAATTTTGGTTATGGTGTTATTTGAAAAGCCAAGTTTACAAAGGTAATCATCAATCACTTGCTGAAGGCAAGAATTACCATCATATTTCAGTCATTCCCCAAGACATGCTATATTACATTTCCAGCATATTTTGCACACTAATAGTTCACATATTGAAAATCTTGTTTTGTAAAATAAAGGCTATATTTGTTTACCTTGGCACTTTTTTTATTTTACCTGGTGACATGACAACTAGCTAATGTTTTTTTATTTGCAAATTCTCTTTCCCATGTTAAGATAACCATCGACTTTCACTGTGATTCATTAATTAAGCAGATTTTCATTTTATAACACAATACAGTCTATATATTATCATCAGTTGCTTATTCTAATAACATTAAACAGTAAATAACAACACACATTAAACATTAAACAAGTCTCAAAATATATAAATTAAAATACACATAAAACTGTGCTTATTACAGTCAATAGTTGTTTATATTCATTGTTATCTTCAGATAAGTGGGCATTTTAATCTGTCTTTTTCACTGTCAACCTCAGCATATGGCTGATAATGGATAATCATTATCACTCTTAACTAATTCCTTTAAACATTCCTATAATGGCATTATAAATATGAGTATTTGTTTAATAAACTATTACAAAAAACAGTAAGTGAACAACCTTGGATGAATTACTTATAATTAATAACCCATTTTACATTTTTTAACTGTTTTAGCATGTTGTTTTTAATGTTAATCAATAAAATCAGAATTTTGATACTAATTGTTGACTTCTTTATTTTTCCCACTTAATATTACTTTCTAGGCTGTTACATATAAGAGAGGGAAAGTATGGTGATTGGTCAAAAAATGACCACCTCAAGATTTTTACATTTTTAGACTCAGCACCTTGAAATGTCAAGAAGTGCAAAAAAATTTCAAAGTTTTTTTTTCCTGTTAGAGTGTGTGTGAGAGGCATGATTTTGTTTCTTCGTTTGAAGCTTAATAACTCATTGTGCTTTTTGTCGAAAATTCTAAAATTTTGCAGAGTGGTTTGTTTATTAGGAAGATCGATGCTATTAAATTTTTTGTGGTTAAAGGCAAAGGGGATAGGGAGATAATGGGGATCGTGTCTATCTCCAGTATGATTGGACATAAATAATAACAACTCAAAGCCTGAGAAATATACAATAAATCATCAAACGATCGCCTTAATATCGGGCTATACTATCGTTTGGCATAGTATAGCCTGATACTAAGGCGATCGTTTGGTGATTTAATGATCGGACATAATGACGATTTTACTCTTTTTTAGCATTTACAATGTTTTTTTTTATAAAACCCATCCATAACCTCAAAATTAAGCTTTTTGCCACTTTATAATAATTTAAAATATTAAAAGGTTTTTTCATAAAATTTGATACCGTGTTTCCCCGAAAATAAGACATCCGCAGAAAATAAGACCTAGCACAGATTTTGCTGAATTGCAAAATATAAGACCTCCCCCTGAAAGTAAGACCTAGCGAAGTTTTTTAGTCGTAACAGTCATCGACAGATGGTTGAAGGTGGCCTTTGGCTTTTTGAAAGTACAGCTACCGATTGGTCAGCAGACAATTACGCCACACGGCATGATTTGCATAAGACTATGGCTTGGGAATCACAGATTTGCATAACGTTACGGCTGGTGATGGCTAATTGGTCGGCCGGGAATCACGCCACATGACATTTGCATAGTGGTACAGTTCAGTAAGCACTAATTGGTCATCGAGTCTGATGTTGACGCTGTAAAAAGGCGACAGTTCGACACACCGGATATACGTCACTCTCGTCTAAGTTTGACTTGGGAATTTTTTTGTTCAATAATAAATGTGAATTCTTCTTCCTGGAAAAAATAAGACATTCCCTGAAAATAAGACCTAGCGCCTTTTTCAGAGCAAAAATTAATATAAGACACTGTCTTATTTTCGGGGAAACACGGTAATAGTTGGTGCCATTAAATGTTTCTGAGAAAGTTAAGTAACTCGCTGCTGAATTTTTATTAGTAAATTATTACAATTATTAGAGATGAATTTCAAAGTAGTTACAATAGGCAGATTCTTCTGTGTTTAAATTTTAATTTATTTTTTAAGCTTAAAAAATTAGTTTATACATAACAGAAGAGAAATACAATCTTTTCTTTAATATTAATTTGAAAATCCAAAAGCTGTCTGGCAGATAGGCATTACTGAGAATAATAATATGGTTACCAAATAGTGTTCTTGATAATGATTGTGATAAATACATTTCACTAATAGTTATAACATTAAACTTTTCTTATAAATAATCCCAATAAGTAAAAATAATATATTTCTCGTGTGTAGAAATGTAATTTTAGCTTTATTTCTGCTGACTTGTGGTTTATTTTTTATTTAGATAGCTAAAGGTTTTTTTATTATTTTTATTTTGATATTAAATAAGTAGTCTCCAACTTTTTTCTAAGAGGACCATGTGAGCTGTAAGAGACAAATTGGGGGACAGACACAAAAATCATAGCCAAAGATTAAGTTTTTTTTAAAATAATGTATTTTTTACAAGATTTTAGCATTCATTTGTGTATACATTATATCTTATAAATAAATCTATGATATGGCTTTGGAATTATAAAAATAAACAGTATTTTTTTTTCTTGTAAGAATATTCCTATCTTCAAGTGTCTTTGACTTGAATAATAGTTTCAGACGTTATATATTAAGTAAATAAAAATAAAATGATTAATAAACTAAGTTTTAAATGATTGTATTTATAGAAAAGAGTTTAGTGTGTTTCTAGGTCAAAATGATCAAAAACTTACTTATTGCATTAGTTTTGAGATATATAACCTAGATGAAAAAAACCAACTTTTGCAATTATATTTACATAACTTTTGTTTCTAATTAAGTAGAAATATTAGATCAGTTCAAAAATATATTTTGGACAATGTCACGCCTTTCAAAGCAGGTAAATATTTCAATAAAGTTGTATGTTTTTGCTTTGAAGAACAAATGTTACTACCAAAACAAAAAGCACTACCTAGATGTGTGTTTGATACTATTTATCATCATTTACTGAAAATAACTATACTAATAATTTGAATCGAAAAATCAAAATTAATTTTATTATTAAATTTTTCATTTAAACTTAAATTATATAATATTTTATACCATATTTCCTTAATGCTATTTTATCTACAGAAAATATTATATCATCATTAGTGTTTTCGTTTCATTACGAAAACATACTTTTGATCTTTTCATGTTACTCCTTTAACTCCTTTAACATGTTACAAAACATATTTCATGACAAATTTTGAGTTAAATTTTTTTCCTTTGTTTGTTATATCATTTTTCAAATATATATCAGATATATAAATTCAAAATAAAACAAGAAAATTTATCACAATGTAATAAAATTGAAATTTGTTTTTTCTTATTGTTGAAGGAAAATAAATTATATGGTAATATTTCATATTATTGATTTGTTTAAAACATTCTTAATTTAAAAATTTATCTATTATGAAAGCCTATCATTTATATACGTCACTAAGAAATTTTTATATGTAGTTTTCATATACAAAAACCAGTTATGATGAATTTTATGTATAAAGTGAATTAGGTGTATAAAAAATTATTAATATAAAAATAATACATGTATGCATATACAAAATCAATTTTTCTGCAATCATATCACATGATTGCAAAAAAATTGATTTTAAAAATACATGTGTTTTTTTTATATTATTAAATAGTCTGTAGCCTCATCATCATAAGATTATTCAAGAATTTTATTAAGTAGTATGGGTGGAATATAACTATGCATTGAGAAATTGCTATCATTTTTTAAATAAAAAGGCACTCGTAATAAAATTTGTGTAAATATACATCAGTTAATGGAATTTTATAATTCTTGCATTAATGGTGTGGTCAGTGACCAAGAGAGCTTCATATGCAGTAGCAAAAACATTGACTGACTGCTTGTCTGTTCAGGAGAGAGCACAGATTGTTGCATGCTATGAGGTGTGGAAATCAGTGGTTGCTGTTTTTCATAGATGATAATGTATGTTGAAGGGATATCAAGCCACAGTCTGTCCAGAAACAACAAAAAAATTGTCATTAGAAACTAAAAGGACCATAGGTTTGGTTTTGAACGTACAGAGAAATGGCCATCCATCCACATTATGATCTGAGAAAAACGTGTCATTGAAGGATGGCACCATTGAATTTTAGGATATGCATCCATATTGCCATTTAATGAAGTGTATTTTGAATAATTTTCATTGTCTTTGCTTTATAAATATAGAAGTTATAGTAATTTTTCAATGCATAGTTATTTTCCATTCACTCTTTATATAAGTGAATTTATGCAATTGTGAAATATCATCAAAATATTTTATTCTATTTACATATTTTTCTTGAAACTCTTGACTTATTAATTTTCCAGTTATGTTTTTATTAAAATTGTTAATCACATTCAGTATCTTTAATAAGTGTAATAAAATAATATAAAATTTATTTTATTATTTATCATTATTTAATATTTTGAACTATTTAATTATAAATAGAATGATGATGTTTAACTTTTATAACTTTATTTTAAATTTATAAATATTAATTTTAATAGATTTCATATTAAAGAAGAAAGATGTCAGAAAGGGATATAACAAAAAACCCATTTGCAGCATTATTTCCATCTCCAGAAGATGCAAAAAACTTTAGAAATCTTCAGTCTCAGATAGAATTATCTGCACACAATAAAGATAAAGGAAAAAGTCAAACTCTTGGCAATGAAAATAATGTGCAACAATCAAGCCTTCTTCAAAATAATAATTTAACAAAAGCTATTGATAAATTTCAGTTCAATTCTATTTGTGAAGATGTTTTTAGGATTACTTTAAACAAAGGTATATATATATTTTTTTTATTGAATTTCATGTACGAAACTATTATTTTATATAAGCATCACAATTTTAAATAATATAAGTAATACATTCTTAGTAAAATCTCATATCACTGGCTAAAAATTACTTTGTTCTATCTCCACTTTGGAAGTAAATTTTGAGAATTGAGTTTGAAAATATAAATAACAATTAGAAGAATAGAGAGAGACATCAGTACAGCTCAACATTAAGAGAAGATACAAGGTGATTTAGGTAAACTGTTAGTAGATTTACATTACCTAAAAGTGCACCTTAAAGATAACAGACAGTTAAGAACAATTTCTCTTCCAAAGTCTATCACTGAAAACATCCCAACAAGCGATAGGAATTATATAAACCAAAAAATATTAAAATCTGCTATAAAATTTAAATATATAAAAATTAGAAGATTAAAACGTAATTTGCAAAAATATAACAAACAGAAAAAGAACGTTTATTTTGAAGATAGCAGCGAAAAAACAAGAAATGCAGACAAAAACAATGCTGATAGATATAAAATAAACAAACATAATAAATTGGTTAAAAAGTTCACGTATCCTTCAATGGAAGAGATATTAGAATGGACCAACTGAATAAAGAGATGAATGATCTGCCAAGTGTTTTGAAAAAATACACCATAGTGTGTCTGTATAAAGCAAAGTAAACTACAACACGGTTTCATCAGAATCAAATAGAGAGTCATATAGAATAAACTGTTTGAACTGTTCTTACTCCAGGAGTATGAATAATAACGATAAGTCAAAACAGACTTAAATGACAGTGGAGATAGGAATTACAAAACAATACAGTATTAAAATTTCAAAATATGCAAAAATAGAGATAGAGCAAAGTGGTTCTCTGCAAACAATGTTAAGGGAATTTGTATTAGTCAAACAATATTTCCATAAATATAATAATATAATGTTGTATCATAGGTATACATTAAAAGATTATTTATATTTTAATATGATAGGTCTATCACATTACATCATATATATTTTTGAAATCCTAAAAAGATTAATAGTGCACACACTGAAAACTATTCATGGAGATAGCTTTTGTCATGAGTTTTATGTTTCTGATAGTGATTGAACTATGGAGGCATTATGTTTTATCGTACTTGTTTACTTTTAATTCTACTTCATTTTTATAGATGGTTTAATGCTAATTATACTATTTTAATTAGTATTAGAAATAATCAATTAAAATATTCAGTAACTGATATATTATAGACTTCATATTTTAAAAACTGTAAATGATGTGATTCTTTTAAATGATTGTTTTTCTATCAGTTTAAAGATAATATTCATCCTAAAATATTTTCATATTAATGAGAGTTAAATATAAAATTTTGCAATAATTGAACTTGTTATTACAAGCTTTTTAGTGCAAATTTTATTGAATTTGTATTAACCATCTTCAAATGAAATTCAAACTTATGTTAAAACATTACTATTACTCATAAAACATTACTTTAAAATTGGCTGTGTTTAACAGAAACAATTATCATGTCATAATTGCATGATTTATTCTGTACGATAATTGCTTAACAGCTAATTAATAACATATTTATCAATTAAATAGAAGTGAAATGAATGTAAACAGTTTAAAAAAAAACTTTGTTGTATTTAGTGAGAAACATCACAGACTTTAAGAATGGCAAACATTTTCACTGAGAGTAAATAATTATTGTAATAAACAGATGTGCTTATAAATTAATAACTTAGGTATTTACTGCTTTTTTTGGAGTAAAGAAATTTTCATTAAAATGTAGTGACTAAAAAGTTGGAAAATGAAGTTGTAAATAAATTTGACAATTTCTTTTAGATTTGTATTATATATTAATAAACATTAAAATATTTATTTTTAATAATATAATATACAAATAAAATAATCCTGAATAATTTTATAAATTAGATTCTGTAACAAGACCGAAAAGTTGCTTGTATTTATCTGAAGTTTCGTCTGCTATACAAGTCCAATTATTTGATTCTGACAATTTAGAGCAAGTATGCTATTTATTTTAATACTTTGATAATGTATTCATTTAGAATAAAAATAATTTTACGTTTAAATAATAAACTAACATAACTGTACAGAATTGGAATTGCATTTAATTACTTATTCAGCAATTGCATTCAGTTTGTTTGAAATGATAATTTAATAATAATAATAATGAAATGAATTACAGTAGAATCTTATTTTAACATCACAGAACAATAGATATCTCAGAATAAGAGATTTTTTTACCTGGTTCTGCCAAATTAATGTAATTTTACCTTCTTTTAGTGGATCCTTAACTCAGAATAAGAGATTTATTCTAGCCACCATCTATTGTAAGCTTTCAATTAAAACATTTTTTCAATGTTTAGTTAATACTTGGGTGCTTCTGGGAATTTATAGAGTTTGATGATGATGAACTTGATACAGTATAATTGAAGAATTGTATGAAGAGAGTCAGCAGGCTGATAGAATGGAGAAGGAGCAACCTAGTGAACATTATGATGCAGGTTCAAATGTAGTGCCTAAATTTAGTGAGGCCACTGAGTCTTTCCAAGTCATGTACATGACAGCTAATATCAAGCTGTCATGTACAGTACAGTACATGCTGTTGTATTTAATAGGCAGAAAAGTGGCATCAAAACAAATCAAAATGGATGAGTTTTTTAACAAATGAAGTTGAGTGAAGTGCTAATGAGCATAAATAACTTGCATTTTTTTGTGCTTATAGTATATACAGTTTCTGTCAGCATTATCGTACACACATAAGGCATGATATACAATCTTGTAACTTATGTGTTTCTATAGAATAAAGAATACAGCTCTCAAGAGTACAGTAATTTCAAGTACAGGTATTTTTTATATGTAGGGGGTTAAATAATGGATATTTTCCTGGGTATGTGGGAAATCTATTGTTCTCGATATAATGGATCTCAGAACAACGGATGATTTTCAGCAGCCTGAGCAATCAGTTAAAATGAGATTCTACTGTATTGTATAAAATTTATTATTTAAATTTTACATTACTAAACCATTACATTAATTTTTGAAATGATGCTTGTAATGCTTGTAACTTAACAATTCTTATAGCACAGTTTAAATTATTGAAAATTTGTCATTTCTTCCTTATCAGAATGATGGTGCATTTACTATCAATCATCAATATTTGTATTATTTATTTCAATATCATTTTCTTTCATCATATATTTATTGTGAATTACTGCTGCTGTTCTTTTTGATACTCTCCATATAAGCTCTCCACATTAGTCACTTTAATCCAATATTCATCCATATTTGTCTAGTTAAGTAATTATACAATTTTTATCATTTGAAGGTTTTTAATTCGGATTTGATTAAATAAACTAATTGTCTGGATGATAATTCTGAATGAAATTGTGAGTAGAAACATACCAAATATATTTATCAGTAATACAATACAATACAATAAATTCTTATCAGCATCAAAATTAGATAATCTATACTAATAATATAAAGAGGTAATGTTTGTAAGTATGTATGTATGTAAGTTTGTTTGCAGCAGGTAATCTCCGAAACTACTCATCCGATTTCAAAAATTCTTTCACTAATATTTAGAATGGAACCTCAGGGTGGACATAGGCTGTATATTATTCCGTTAAACATTCATATAAATTAAAATATATAATCTAGGTTAAGGCTTTTATGTCCAACAGATGGCGCTACGAGTACGACGCCCTAAGTTTGCTTTTCTGTGAGGCATTATGCTTTTCTGTGAAAATGAACTAAAGCAGATCATCTTCTATCTATCTATATAAATAAAAATGTAATGTTCGTTTGTTCCTACCGATTCCTTTGAAATTTTGACACAACGCTGCATTCGAATACATACGTGTTGAAATTCAACCCCACTGAAGGGAGATGGTTAGGATTAAGGCTTACCGTAAAGAACTCTGCTTCTATTTATACTATTTTAGATGCGGTTTTTTGCGTTTTAATAGGGTACGTCAACAGAATGTACACTAAGAAGAAATTTTTCGAAAAATTCCCCCTACGGGAAAGTGTTATAAATTTATAATAGATACATTTTGAGCCACAACAACGCGTGGCAGGGTCTGCTAGTATGAATATAAAATTTAGTTCTATGAGAATATATAGAATATTTTAGAATTTTGTTTAATTATCACAAGATTTGATTAAATTAATTTCAGTTGTGTGACAAATACTTGCTAAACATAATTATCTATACTTCAAATTAGAGAAGTATATAATAAAAGTCTTATCATTACAGGAAATTAAATTATTCAATAGGTATTTTAATATAATTTAGTATTTTGTTTTTTATTTAGTGCAAAATTAATGGAAGATTTAGAGTTTTTAATCTTGCTAGGAAATTATGCAAAATGATACATATTCTATTACTTTGTTGGATCATCTGTCTACAGTGATTATAAACATTTTCGAACTCATTAAATTATTATTATTATTCTCACTTTTTGTATTGAATTTATTTTAAAAATTTGTAATAGTAATATTACTTTTATGCAATGAGTTTAAAAATTCTCATTTAAATTTTATCTTTTAATTTTAATTTTCAAGTTGATTTTTTTTTTTCTATTCAGTTACCAAATAACATTATCAGAAAAATATGCATGAAAAAATTTCAAAAATAGAAAATGTTCTTTGATGTGCAGAAAGGTAACGAACATCCAGTTGTTGCTCAAAGTTAGTTATGCTGTTGCTTAGCAACATCCTAAAATTTGAAGTACAGGTATACCTCGACTTACGTCGTTTCGAGTTACGTCGTTCCCGATTATACGTCGTTTGTCAAAAAAGTATACGAAAAAATAAAAATCAAGTTTAAGTCATTTTATTTGACTTTACGTCCGTCCGCCACAAATATTGAAGTCGTAATATCACTAGAAAAGCGTTTAAAGCACATAAAATCATATTAAAATATACACATTTACAAGTATGTACTGTATTTACAGTACAGTACATGCATTCGTAAATTTAGATTACTTTTTTCTGTACTCTATTAAAAACTAAAATTTATTTGTTTGTAAGATTAAAATAGATTTTTATTAACCATATATTATTAAAAATGCATTAATAAATAAAATACAGAACTGGGAATAGTAATTTATAGTTTAGCCTAGTGACAAGTAGATTCGGAGACAAGTAAATTCGACTTACGTCGTTTTTCGACTTAAGTCGTTTTCCTGGAACCAATTACCGACGTAAGGCGAGGTATACCTGTACATTTCAGAAACACATTTTTGTCTTTGACATCTTTATACGAAAATTATAGCACATGACAATTTCACTAATCATGGGTTAGAAATTTTTGCAGTTATAAAAATAATTCTCATAATTTGGAAATTCTCACATTTGATTCTAAACCAACTATTGGCTTTCATAACTGTAAGCTTACTTTTACCTGTTCGTCAAAGTTTTCTGTCTTTGGGTCTTGTTTACCAATTTATTTCAGTAAAATATATACTATTTGAAAAATGATATAAATTTTACTGATGTATTGAAATTATATTTTAGTATATTCTGTTTTTAAAAAAGGATGAAATACTTTTGTTATATAACATAAAATTTTTTTTAATTAATAGTCTATTAAGGCCAATTACAAAAACAGTCTTTTAAAACCCATAATCATCTATTGTGCCAACTAATCTTTATCTTTGGACAAGAAGTTAGCCATTTTTTATTATAAGGACCTTGAATAAGTTCTCGCTGTTTTCCAACAGATGGCGTTACCAGAACCACGTGTGTTTATTTTTAGATGGTGAAGCATCTGTAAGGAAGTACAATAAGTGACCTTGAAATTCAGTATACGTCATTTCACCAAAGTATAAACAACTTATTTTTTCATTGTGTTAAACATGTCTAGTTTCATGCCAAAAAAAGAGTATTTGCGGGGAATTTTATTGCACTATTTTATTTTTAAAAAATCTGCAGCAGAAGCACACAGAATTCTTGTTGAGACTTACGGCGACCATGCTCTGTCGGAAACAACATGCAGAGATTGGTTTAGACGCTTCAAAAATAATGATTTTGATGTTGAAGATAAAGAACAATCTGGTGCACCAAAAAAGTTTGAAGACAAGGAATTAGAGGCATTACTTCATGAAGACTCATGTCAGACGCTAGCTGAACTTGCAGAATCATTAGGAGTTGATCACACAACAGTTTCAAAACGTTTAAAAGGATTAGGAATGATTCAAAAGCAAGGACATTGGGTGCCGTA